CCGGAATTGCAGTGTCGTCCCTCCACGCGCTGATATGAAAGCACCCGAGCTTCTACCACGTGGTTCATGACACAGCCTGAGCCGTGTCGGCGACCGGTTCGCGAGGGGTTGGCGGTGGGGTTACGTTGATGGTCACTCGGATTTGCCCTTGCTGTACTGAGCTACCGCCTGCAGTGCCTTATCGCCGGCTGGTGTCAACAACGAGAACACACACACCCTGTCTACACCAAAACTACAAGCGTTCACCGCACACGCGTCGCCGCCGCTTTTAAGCTTTTGTGAAATTGCTTTCTTTTGCCGCGGAGAACCGCCTTATCTTAACTACGCGCCTGAAATCCTTCCAGGCGGGCGTACACAATATCAAGCGTTTCGAGAAATGCCCGTGGAGTAGAACTATGGGAAAATTCGGAGCCCGCGATGTCGATATCGTCGCCGTTGTGTTAGTACGCCGTCGCGTACTGCAGTCCCCCGTTGGGGGAGGGGGGGCGGGGCGGTCTTACTACGATAACATGGCGACAGCGTTTACACTCTATGTATTTACGCGAGGCTCGAGTATTTGGGGGATAATGCTGCCGGTTGGTGTGCCCCTTTGCGCCTGATATTATCGCCCGTGACGCCAGCGAGTGAGATGGCGACAGGCATGACTGCTCAGTAAACAGGCGTCGGCGGCCATGTTTTGCTGGTTGAAGCGAACCCCCTTGTCCTTGACAGCGAGCGGGGAAATGCGAAAAAAAGATTGTATCGGCCGTTTTGCCAGAACTAGCAACGAGTGTCGTCTGCGGTTTCCGGCCACTATTTTGCCATAATCGTGAGCTTAGCGAGGAAATGATTTTTGCTAGCCACAGAACACTACCACGCAGAAAGGGAATGCTTGAACATGTTTTTGTTCTGGATATATATCAGGGATATATATGAGAGAGAGAGAGAGAGAGAGAGAGAGAGAGATGAAGGTAGAGCGGAAGAGGGAATAGCATATAGTGTCGCAGGAGAATAAAGTAAACAAAGTTCCTAGTGGCCGATGGCTGCATGATCTTTTCTCGGATCACTAGTCCGTAATATGATACCTCTTTGTACACAGTAGTTTCTCCTTAATTTAAGTGTGTGAACGATTTCTTTAGTTATCATTGGCCTCATCTGAATAAAAATATATAAAAGATGTGTGTTGGTTTCATGAAACTGGAACTCAGAGTCAGTTCTTGTACAAAACACTGCTAAGTGTAGGCTTTGAAAAAGGACCCTACTTTGGGGAGTTGTATCTTCTTTCTCCATAAAATGATGCAACATGTTTTTAATGGAAATGAATGCCGAAATAGAGTATAACAGGTTACCTAAATTTAAAAAAAATCGAGGGTGGTGTTTTTTTTTTATTCGCATCGGAATTTTTCTTTGTTTGATTTTTTTCCCATGTTTGACTAAATATATCCTAACTATTGTATCACACAGATACCTTAGTTATTTTTTAAATATTAGCTATATATTAGTAGAATAATATCTGCAAATTATATCATAATGATTAAATTATTTCATGAGATACAGACCTCCAAAGTTTGCCATTTGTCGTTCGAGCAGGCATGTTTGTCAATTTTTAGAAAAATAAATAAATTTTAAATAAATATGATTACTTTATATTACAAGCAAGCTATACCCATAGTTTGCGCCTAAAACGTATTAGAGTTCTCCTAATGTTATCGCTTTAGTTATTCGCTCTCAAACGGGCCCCCTCCATCAGTGCGCGTTAATGCAACTGTCCACCACCTCATGCATTACGATTTTTCCTGTCCCCAAGTATTTTTTCTAGTCAAAACTAAGTTTGGATTCGTTCATACCAGACACTAGACAATAACCTATAAAAACATCAGTTGATTTGAAAATGTCGACTAGCCATCCTTGGGTCGATCTTTTCTGAAATCACCCTATAATTGATTCTCCAGAGCTACTCAGTCACATCTATACTTGCACGTTCCTCGTAAGTCTTGTAGACTTTAGACTTTGTTTTACCCTACCGATTTTTACCATGCTGCACCCATGACACGCCTACCACTGACTTATAACCTTTTAGAACAGATTTGTGGGAATGCTAGTCGTGATATTTTTGATGAAGAGCATAAATTTTGGAAGTGTGTTGACGCTATTCAGTTCAGTTCAGTTTATTTTACCTCAAAGGCATTTCAAATGAAATGCATTACATGAGGGGGGATCAAATGACATATACAGATGGCAAAAAAGTGACGACAAGGTAAATAATACGAAAACGCAAAAAGAAAACAAAAGAACTACAAACTAATTGGACAGATATCAGAACATAACATGTATAAAAAATAATTAGCAGATAAACATGTTAAGGATCAACGCTTTTCAGGTGTGCCTTGCATAGTTCACGGAATGTCTTAGGGTTAGATTCACGTACTATGGATTCAGGAAGGGAATTCCAGTTAGTAACAGCGAGAGAAAATGGGGAATTTTGGAATTTATTAGTTCTGGCGAATAGAGGTTTAATTTTTAGGCTGTGGTCATGACGCAAGGAGATGTGAGGTGATGGGTAACAGTTGGTGTTTCGAAAATCAGAAGAGGAATAGTAAGTTTTGTGAAAAAGGACAAGACGAGCAAGTTGAGATCTTTGAGATAGAGGGCATAGGTCGAGGTTGAATTTTAGTGCAGTTACGCTTGACGTTCGCGAGTAGTCGTGTGTTATAAAACGTGAGGCCTTGTTTTGCACCGATTCGAGTTTAGTAATGAGATATGATTGATGAGGCCACCAAATAAAGTTGGCGTAGTCCAATTTTGATCGGACGAAAGTCTTATAGGCAGTTAGTTTAACACAACGGGGAGTGGGGTATAGGTTACGTTTGATGTATCCTAGAGATCTGCATGCACTAGCCACTACATTGTCAATATGAGTATTCCAAGTTAGGTCATCAGAAAATGTTACGCCTAAATATTTGTAAGTTGGTACTTTTTCGAGAGGCAGTGTTAGTAAGGTGTAGTTACGTACAATAGGAGATCACTGACCAGTGAATGTTAAAAGTTTACTCTTGGTTACATTGACCTTCATCTGCCACGTGTTACACCAATGAGACAGAACATTTAGATCCTGCTGTAGTAGTAATGAATCTTCAGGGTTAGTGATGCGACGGTAAATTACGCAGTCATCCGCGAAAAGCCTAATAGATGATGTTATCTGGTGAGGAAGATCGTTAATATATATAAGAAATAAAAGCGGACCGAGTACGCTGCCCTGAGGGACGCCCGACAGTACAGGCAGGCTTGGTGATCTGGCATGCCCAAGGTGAACAGCTTGCTTACGGTTAGTTAAGAATTCAGCTATCCAGAGTATAAGAGATGGATGGATGTTAAGTTCAGAAAGTTTGTATAGAAGTCGCTGGTGAGGAACCGTGTCAAATGCTTTAGAGAAGTCGATGAAGATGGCATCAGTGGGTTTAGAGGAGTGAAAATTGTTATGCAAATTGTTTTTTTTCTAACGTTTCGCTTTTATCCTGTTTAACATTTTACTACTAATTGACTCATTGACAAGTGCACCACTAAGGAGGCGTTAAGCTGTTGGTAGGTCACTGAAAATAAGAATGAATAAATAAATAAAAGCATTTTTGTGAAAAAAACAAGCCGATACATGTTTGGCTAGCACAATTTCGCTAACGGATCAAAAGCTATGTACTTTCTTTTTACTATAAAAAAGGCATATAAAAGTAACTTCAAAAGTAACTTTAAAAGTAATTCACTACTTCTTTACGGTAATTAGTAATTTTCTCAATTACCTTTTATTTGAGTAATTTCTACTCTACTCAAATTACTTTTGAGGTCAATACTCAGTAACTTAACTTAATTACTTTTTTTTAGTAACATGTACATGTCTGCAAGTTAGACGTAACGTAAGAAAACGGTGCTGTGTGAACCAATTTTTAAACGTTGATCCGAGCTCAACTCCTTAAGTTACGTTTCGACGAGCTTTCTGTCCTTGGTTGCCACGGTAACTCACCGTCCTATCTCGTCGTAAGCGCTCGCAACATGACATAAGGAGCCACCCCTGTGCGAATTGGCATTGAATGCGTTGTACGCAGCATAACGTAAAGTAAGAAATGGTCAAGTGTGATGCGTCCTTAAAGGCACATCTGTGCAGCAGCGTTTACTCACCTATTGGGGAGGAGATCGAACAGTCACGTCTCTAGCGGTACGCTTCAGATGTGTGGGCAATAAACCAAATTTTATTGTTTGTTGTTGATCAGAGAAATCGAAGATGAAGATTCGAAGGCAGCTCTTCATTCGACCAAAGCACTGGTCAGAGCGAAGCGCTCGTACCCAGGCCTTCTTAGGCGAGGTTCAAAATTTTAGTTATGCTGTGTTTGTAAACATCGAACTGTGTGGACAACAAGCTCAATAAAGCGCCCCCTATAGCTCGACCTCCGGCCCCATACTCACGTTACGTTATAAATTTGGTCACCGCGACATTCATGCCTTGTATGTCACGTGCGAAGCTACTGCTTGAGTCGGCTGCCATGATTTATATGAAGCATGGTTGTTCTGGTGACTCTAACAGTAAGCGTACACAAGCTCCCGTAACGTAAGGAAACGCAAACAAACGGTATGCTTACGTTTTTTTACGTCGAGAATCACCTGGGGCCCTATGTTGCATGTTTTGGACTCCCACGGCGACTACGGAGAAGGAAGTGACGTCAACAACGCCGCAAACGCAGATTGGATGTTGACTGATTTCTCATCAGTCAACATCCAATCTGCATTTGCTGCGTTGTTGACGTCACTTCCTTCTCCATAGTCGCCGTGGGAGTCCAAAACGTGCAACATAGGGCCCCAGGACACCCGCGTTCAGTACGAGGAGTGCCAGTCAATTCAAGAAGTAGCTCTGCGCGTTACATTTGAAGCACTGTTATAACGGTGACTCCTAACGTAACGCATGAAAGCCTAAGCTAACGCTGCTTTGTGAATGAGCCTTGAACGACCCTTGTACTCCACATTACGGTGCTTAGGTCTGGCCACGCGTCCATGATAGTCGAGGCGGAGGAAGACCTGTCCCGTCGCGGGGTGACCAAGCCCAGCGCCGTGGTGACCTGTGCCGGCGGCGGCGGCCTTCTCTGCGGCATCGTGGAGGGCATGCACCGCGTCGGCTGGACCGACGTGCCCGTGCTCGTCATGGAGACGCGGGGAGCGGCCAGCTTCAGGGCTGCCAGGGACGCCGGTCGCCCCGTCGCCATCAGCGCCATGACCAGGTACATAGCCTCCCGGCCCAATCCAGTTAAAGCCTGCGCCTTCCGCGCAAGAACGATAACCCGCCAGGTAGCGGGCATGCGTCGGTGTTTGAGACTTTGTGTTTGTCCGTCCCTTCTCGTCCCAGACTCGGGGTTTTTAGTCAAATGTATAGCGATGAACAACGCAGGAGGAGGGACAGGCGAAGGCGAAGAAAGTAGGCAGCCGGAGTCAAAATATAGTCACGCGGCCGTTTACTGAACCGCCTTTCATTTGTTTTTTCACGGGAGAAACAAAAAAATTGACCGCCTCTACGGGGCAGGTCTTGTGGATGCGGCGAAGTGGGTGAAGGCGCCGAGTGAATGGGAGATAAGGCTATGCAAGGTGGCGTTAGAGTGCGTTCGCTTGGATGTAATATACCTCGGTGGAATCTTGGACGGGGGTCCGCCGCAAAATTCGTGTAAAGTATATGCACCGTTTTGTTATCTACGCACCCACTCCCTGTGGAAGTTTCCCGGCGTTCGAAGCCACTGTACGCCTTTTCGCGGCTCCGGGTAATTAGATGTTTTGATAACTCCATATGTTTTAACTCCTAAAAATGAAGACACTGGGCCCATTTTCAACCGTGGATTGGCTAAAGCATTTTATTCTATTCCTCTCATTTCTAAACGTGGTAAATGGCTCTTTACGACTGCATTTTGTTACCGACAAAAGCAACAAAAAGCTGACGTTATCAAACGCAGACATCTGAAAAAAATATGCAAAACAGGTCCCCAAAGCACTAGTTCTACAGTGCCGAGTGGTGGAGGTTCAAAGCACTTGTTGGCACTTTGTAACACTGCCGACATCGATCGCGCGAGCAAGCGTAAGGGGCTCGCTACGGACGGCAAAAAATAAAACCACCAATTTCCTTTGCGAGAGATGTATGTCCTCCACCTCTAAGAGTTACAAGGCCAGCGTGTTTATTCGTTGAAACCTAAAAATGTGCAGTTCTTACTTGCACAACAGGTTTCAGTAGAGATGCCGCGTATACCTGCCCCAAATCTCTATGCACCACGGCAAGAACACAAAACGGGCTGCAGAGTGCAATCGCTAAGGTGCCGGCATGCGGGACGGTGTGACAATCTGACCGTATTCAGTTTAATTCTTTATTTGTTTTCTAGGCAAGCACTATACCCCGCTCATCCCTAAGCTGATAGTGCAGTGGAAGCTACGCTCGTACCGAATTCCAATCAACCGCCTCCCTGTTCAGCACCTGACCCTGCTTTCTGCCCGTGGGTTGGGTGGGAACGTGATCGTGGCAAAAGATAGACGTATGGCTGGTCCAACGAGCACTTACCTTCCCCCGCACCGTCAGTTTAAAAGTGAACGGAGTTTGGAAGGTCTTCTGGGCTAACAGCTACATGTGCCCATTATGGTTCGTTAATTACCCGGACACCATCGCTTCATTACCCATACATTGTTGATCATGGGGTGGCTCGCAGCGTTCGCCTCGATTCGTCGTCAGGTGGAACAGAGTCTGGACGCAATAGTCACAAGACGCTCGTCCAAGAACGAGCTAGCGGCCCCAGTGCGTCACAGAAACCTGTATGGCACTTTGAGCTAAGCGTGCGCCTCTGGAGGAGTGTTGGCGCTAACGCGTTACAAGTAACTGCGTTACCGGTGACGGGTTACGTTTTCGTAACCGTTACTTTTTCAAAGCAGTGACAGGAAACGTACTTACGTTACTTATTTTGAGTAACGGGTAGCGGAGTTACGTTACTCGTTACCTATTCTTCCCAAGACCCGAAAAAAGTAAACTTTATTTTTGCTTTTCCGTGTTTCTCGACTTCGTTTTACCTTCAGCCCAGACGCGCGCGCTGTCGACACTTCGAGCTAATGGAGCCAATCAGAGAGCGTCAAAAGGGCACCATCATGGTGTTCCTCATGTTTTTAGAGCGCAGCTCTTAGGGGCCCGTTTCCGGCTTGAGCGGCGTCGCCGTCGGCGTCGGCGTCGCCGTCGGCGTCGCCGTCGCCGTCGGCGTAACCGCGCGGTGCATCATGGGAAATGTCCCATAATGCACCGCGCGAGCCCCCCACCAAGGTCACGTGACCTCGTGGGGGGTCACGTGACCCCCCGAAGTCACGTGGCCCCCTCCTCGAGGTCACGTGACCCCCGCCGATGTCGCGTGACCCCCCGATGACGTCATCGTCACTGATGACGTCACCGGCATCCACATCGTCATCGTCATCATCACTGATGACGTCACCGGCATCCACATCGTCATCATCACTGATGACGTCACCGGCATCCACATCGTCATCGTCATCACTAATGACGTCACCGGCATCCGCATCGTCATCGTCATCATCACTGATGACGTCACCGGCATCCACATCGTCATCGTCATCATCACTGATGACGTCACCGGCATCCACATCGTCATCGTCATCATCACTGATGACGTCACCGGCATCCGCATCGTCATCGTCATCATCACTGATGACGTCACCGGCATCCACATCGTCATCGTCATCATCACTGATGACGTCACCGGCATCCACATCGTCATCGTCATCATCACTGATGACGTCACCGGCATCCACATCGTCATCGTCATCATCACTGATGACGTCACCGACATCCGCATTGTCATCGTCATCATCACTGATGACGTCATCAGTGACGTCACTGATGTCGTCACCGGCATCCGCATCGTCATCGTCATCATCACTGATGACGTCATCAGCGACGTCACTGATGACGTCACCGACATTCGCATCGCCATCGTCATCATCACTGGTGAAGTCATCAGTGACGTCACTAATGACGTCATCGGTACCCGCATCGTCATCGTCACTGATGACGTCATCAGCGACGTCAGTGATGACATCATCGGCATTGGGGGTCACGTGACTCCCAAGGTAACGTGACCCCCCCCCCCTGGTTAGTTTAACCCCCCCCCCCCCCCTCAGTGCCCTTCCCTCCTCCTCCTCAAGAGCTGCGCTCTAATTCGGCGTTACAGGGAGTTGTAAGCGGCTTTCATTTTTTACGTGTTCTCTAGAACACTAAGAAAGGCAGTTACCTGCGCTTTTGACGCGGCGTCTGGGCCTAAGCTCAAATGATGCACAGGCGCCAAGTCATTAATTTTTGCACTCATTTTTCCCATGCAAGAAGTCCCACATTAGGAAAACACCATCGCCCATGCTCCTTTGTCGCTATATAACAAAAACGCTGCCGAAAAAAAAAGTTTTTGTTAGTTTATAAATAAAAAGTAACGCAAAAGTAACGTGCCTTACTTCTTTCTAGCTAACGGTAACGCGTTCCTTTTATTTTGAGGTAACGTAGGTCGGTAAGGCGTTCCTTTTATTTGCAAGTGACAAGTGACGTATTTCGTTACTTTTTTTTTCGGTAACGCCTACAACACTGCTTTGAAGTGAAGAGGCCCGCATCCGAAAAATACTGGCGGCGTGGCTCTGACTCTGCCTGGTGGCCGGTGCTGTTATCGCGCCTGGTCACATGAGCTGCTATGTCCAGTTCAGCGGCGTCAAGTACGACACATTGTCCTTCTACGTTTAAAGTAATTGTGTTGTGTGTCTGTTTATACAGCGGGAAGTTAGTCAGCCCCAGTGGGTGCCCAAGTCTAGTGTCTCAACTGTAGATGCCAGTGCAGTACAGCTGCTAGCTTGGGGTCTTTAACGTGCACCACGCAGTAGTGATACACGACCGGCACGCCGGTACGATGCTCATCCAGATCGGAGCAGGCAAGGGTGAGGATTGAACCCAAGCTCCCCGGGTTCTGGAGCGCGAGCTTTCACTCAACGTGCTCCGAGCTGGTGCGCGCTAAAGGCACTGGATCCTGGGAAAGTAGCGCCATTGCCTTGCTTGCCTGCCTTCTATCCGGACACAAATAAATGCCAACATACAGATGACAAAACCTCGAAAGGTGATTGGCTGATCTGTCTCAATGACCATGGCGATCACCATTTCGGTCCATTCAAGTTTTCGAAGCTTCGGAAAGATCGATTGAACCAGTCGCGCCAAGATCGCTATGAAGCTTCATCGTACTGAAAGCGTTCCTCGCCAATATCAGTGTATTCGGCAGTGTGAATGCAATCAACTTATCAATCACCTCTGCCTCCCCAGATTTCTCACAACGATATTGCTCTTGCGTATTTCAAGACAGGAAAATGGTTTTTCGACGCATTCAAGCACCGACGCCGCATGTGGCCGGCGAAGACGTATACGTTTGTTTCGCCGGTTTGTGATAGCAAAAATTCAGTATACAAAAAAACGTCTCTGTAAAGCTACCCACCAAAACCGATTCACACGACAGACTAATCCGCGGACGGATTGATCACGTGACGACGTGTCCACGGTTCGTCCGTCTCCCAAGCGCTTCCACACGCGGGAGACGACGAGCAGACGCCAGCGAGGACGGACCGAACCTGTTCGCCACCCCATGCACAGTGCCGCGAAACTCCAACATCACACCGTGGCACCGTTGTCCAAGAGAGAAATCGACGTTTGCTACCGCGATAAAGACTAGCTCGTACGCCGCTGTTACGTACAAATCGAGACGAAACACTGTGGTAGGATTCGCGCGAAGCGCCACTAGCTTTACTAATCCAAGTCATGACTACAGTCTACTAGAATACGGAGTAGTGTTTGGACCGGCGCGACTCGACAATGGAAACTTATGAGGCTGTGTGTAGACAAAAATCGCGACGCTGCAGCCGACAGGGCAGCAGAAATTCGTGGCAGTCCGCACGTGCCGCCTCACGTGCGTCTGCAAGCGGTGCAGGCGCACAATCACCACCATACTGACCCTGCTTCCGATGCGCCGGTGTCGACACCTATCGCGATCTACACCACACGCCTCACGCAAGCTGCTCCAGTCCCACCACTACCCCTAGTACACCTAGTACACCATAGCGTGACAGTGACACACGCATGGTTCTGCTCGAGAAGGGCTCGGCGTAGAAGCGACGAAGTTCTGGGCTCGCGGAAGGCGTTTGAAGATGCCTTCACGCACTTTGCGCTCGTGCACAACACTCAAGCAGACCACATCCACAAAAAAGGCCTTGCTCAGTGAAAGGCTGATTGGACGTGCAAAAATTACCGCGGCTTGCTAGACGAGGTTTGATGGGAGCTTCTTAAAACGGACCCGGGCGATTACCGGAACCTGCGTCGCGTCAGCCGGACAAAGTTTCTGCAGTTTTTTTCACGCGCGGAACCAAGAGTCGGGCGACAAAATGAACCAGCGAACGCACAAAACAGAAGGATGTGCCATTTTTGTTTAATCTTCCGAAAAAAAAAATACACATACACACACACACGAAATCATTGTACCGTTGCCAGACTAAACGCTTTTCAAGTCAATCTCCCACCAAAACTTCGCGAGTGAAAAAGGCGCTCGACTTTATCACTCCGTGCGTCCGCGGGCGAGGCGCGGATCGCACACTTTAAAAAAAATACCGTGCGTCTACTTTCCCGCACAATACTCGGAGAGCCAATCACCGCAGCTTACGGAGTCAGCTCAGCCAATGACGATGCCGAAACATATGTTAAGACCAAAACACGTAGTCCGAGTTGTGACATTAAGCAATGTTTCGGCATCATCATCCGCTGAGCTGACTCCGTAAGTTGCGGTGATTAGCTCTCCGACTGTTATGCGGGAAGGTAGACGCACGGGCGTTTTTTGCAGTGCAGGAATCAGTGACGTGACGGTTACGTGGTGCACGGTACGCGGACAAAAATCGCGATTCGGTCCGTCGTGTGAATCGGTCATAACGGGCAATATACGTGCGGTGTATGCACCGCGCCTCGTACACTGCCTATACGCTGTTACCTCGCATGGTTCAGGGAGTGCAGAGGCGGGACTTGAGCGTGGAAAATCGTAAGCGCTGACATTTGTGATCCTCAGAGGAAGAACGAGAAAAATCACTGCAGAAAATCCGAAGGAAGCAGACGCGACGTTAGGCGTGTTCATTTTTCCCCAACTGATTGTTTACCTTCGCACACTGCACGCCGCCGGTGCTCCTTTTAAAGCGAGAACAGACTAGGAATGACCGTCCGAGGGATGGTTTGCTTCCTCTGTGTGTTTATGAATGTCTTACCAGCGATCTGAGCTCCGCCGCTGGCAATAACTGCGTGATCCCGCTGTTTCGGGGCGGCGAACGCGGATACATTACTCTCTGTTTGTGACATGGACCCCGTGGTTCGGCGCTCGACCTGTGTCCTGTATTTCTTCTGCTGGTGAGCAGCTGCAGTATCGAATGGTCGTCGGAGATTTCATTCAGCTCGTCATGTTAGAGCTAAAGGAAGTTCAAACAGTGGCCATTTTGAAGGCCAGACCATCACTGGCGGGTCGCTCCAAAAATGCGACTCCATCTTCCGCTCGTCGATTTGGAGCGGGTGCTACGGAGCTCTTCTTCTCCTCCCTCGCAGATTTTGGAAACAGATTCGAATCTGCTAGTGGAATTCAATTCATCGGCTCACCAAGAATGAGGAGGTCAAGGAAAAATTGCTCATTCCATGAACCAAAATGGCGACCATTCAGGGCGCTTTGCTCTACTTTATTATGATCCAGTTAATTTAGTGCGCGCTAACTAACTCGGTCGCCGATCCCCGCTCCGTCCACGTTTACGATTTCGTTCCTTTACTGAAGACGCCACTTTCAACCTCAAAAGAGCGCGATATCCATTCAGACAGTCAAGCCGCCAATCATTTTGAGGGCAGTGATGATGTTTCAAGAGCCACTTTGAACGTGCGTTAGCGTTGCACCAGCAGCCCGTAGACCCTAGCTGAAGATCGACACAGCTCGCCTAAGAACCGAGCCCATTCCATTCCCTCTTCATTACGGGCCAAATGCGTCGAATTCCATTCCCACTCCATTCCTGCTAGCGCTGCTACAATTTCATTTTCATTTCATTCCGGGGTAACAGAAGTGCGGAATGATTCCGGAATCATTCCAACTCCGCAACACTGGCTGAGATTCACTGTAGACAGCCTTTATAATCAAAGCCTGTTCTCTGACTCTTGCTGACACGTCATCAGCTTGCAAAGGCGGCGACTCCGCGATTGGGCGTCAAGTGTTCACCGATTATTGAACACATGTTCCAGCGCTACGCTCGTCTCGAATATACGCGCTCCGTTGTAGTGCGGTGGTGTAGACATTGTAGTGCACACATATAAATTTGAGAGCGCACTCATATACTTGTTATGTGACGGGTCACTATAAACATTTTACGTGTCCTCTAAAGAGCAAAATATTAAAATATGCATATGAGTGAATCGTATACTTACCAACTGTGATAAATGTAGCCGCCGAAATATTTTTGACGATCACCGGGATTTTGTTGAGTTGGCAGGAGTTTAGCCCACTAAATTTAGCTGGCAGCGGCACAATACGACGAGTGCGCGGCAACGTATGTCTTGGGAGTGCTTTACATACCTCCGCTGTCTACATGCGAATCACTTTCTTTCTGCACCTCGCAGCGTGGCGGTCACACTGGGCGCACTGACAGTGTGCCAGAGAGCGGTGGACTTGCTGCGCTCTCACCCAATCATCTCGGAGCTCGTCACGGACCGCCAAGCTGTAGATGCCTGCTTCAAATTCGCAGGTATTGATCTTCGAAGCGATTCCAGTCGTCTTACTGACCTAGCGCCTTAGTTACGAACATAACAGTGTCAGCGTCTTGGTTGCAGTTCCCCTTGTATACTTCACGTAATACCCTGACGACCATTAATTTCGTCATTAGTGATTGCACCATAAAAAAAAATGTTTACGAACAGGCATTATTGCAATGATTAATTAAAACCGACATTTAAACGAACATTTTTTTGTTATTATGAATGTCTTACTATGAGCTATGAGTTATAGTTCTCACATATCGACGCAACTTTCTGTGCCTTTCCGAAAAGAGGAGGGGCGCAGACCAACGTTAATGGGCGCTCAAGCACGCGCTCCCGTACTTTCGATTGCGTTGCCACAAAACGTTGTCTCCAAGTTGAATAATATCGATCGGGCCTCCTGCGTTGCCCAGGGGGTGCTACGAAAAGGGACTTGTTAGGCCTTGCTTTGGGTAGTACAAACTTTAGCGTCTCAAACTGTCATGCATGCAGAAGCGTGCCTGCTCTGGTGCGGTGCGCGAGATCACCATAAAATACAAAGAAACAACAAAATTCGAACGCCGTCAAAGCTAAGACGCTAAGAGCGTGAGCCAACAACTGCCGTTTCACGCGTTCCAAAGTAGACATGACAAAGAAAAAGAAAAATGAAAGCGACGCTACACAGGTGTTTTGACATCACCATACAGAGATAAGAGACGCGTACCCTAGCGGTGGTGTCATGAATTTGGCACTTCTGTTTGTCTTGCGGCGTCGAGTCTGGCCAATTTCTGGCGTCCAAATGTGTTTTTTTTTGTTCTTCAGCACCAGACAGAATTAAAAAAAGCTCAACCAACGTGCCATACGTATGCGAGGCTCAATGAGGTGAGCTTGTACTACCCAAAATGAGGGCGCTACAGTTTGTTCAAAGCTTCAGCGCAGGAGGCAAGGAGCTCTTGGCTCGCCCACCAACCCATCCCTCTGATGTTGCCTATCACGATGTTTTTACTGCGTCTGCATGGAATGAAAGTTCTAAAGCGTGACTTCTAGCTATAGCGCTGAATCAGCCCCTTCCACGGCTTTGACCTCGCGCTCGTGTACTTGTGCTTCGAGACAGTGTAAAGTGGAGCGTAGTTCCCCTTTTCACCGCAACGCCCTACAGTCGAATCTCTCAATCAGTAAGAAAATCTGTAGTATGCGGGCAGAGATTGGGGGAGAGGAGGAGACGAGAGTGCACGGGGATGTCGGAACCGGAGCTCTGGTTGGAAGGATTAGTGGGTAGATGAAACGCTAGCTGGCTTTGTCTTCACTGCATTTGTCGAACACATAAGGATGCGAAATTTCAACGACCGGCGTTTGGCGTTCCCGTTCGGACGCGTTTGACAGTGAAGTGGAGACAAAAGCTGCCCTGATCTCCACTGCAGTTGTCGAACACGTAAAAACGCGGAACTTCAGCGTCCGGCGTTTGGCGTTCGCGTTCGGACGCGTTTGACAGTGAAGTGGAGACAAAAGCTGCCCTGATCTCCCCTGCACTTGTCGAACACGTAAGAACGCGAAACTTCAGCGTCCGACGTTTGGCGTTCGCGTTCGGACGCGTTTGACTGTGAAGTGGAGACAAAAGCTGCCCTGATCTCCACTGCAGTTGTCGAACACGTAAAAACGCGGAACTTCAGCGTCCGGCGTTTGGCGTTCGCGTTCGGACGCGTTTGACAGTGAAGTGGAGACAAAAGCTGCCCTGATCTCCACTGCAGTTGTCGAACACGTAAAAACGCGGAACTTCAGCGTCCGGCGTTTGGCGTTCGCGTTCGGACGCGTTTGACAGTGAAGTGGAGACAAAAGCTGCCCTGATCTCCACTGCAGTTGTCGAACACGTAAGAACGCGGAACTTCAGCGTCCGACGTTTGGCGTTCCCGTTCGGACGCGTTTGACAGTGAAGTGGAGACAAAAGCTGCCCTGATCTCCACTGCAGTTGTCGAACACGTAAAAACGCGGAACTTCAGCGTCCGGCGTTTGGCGTTCGCGTTCGGACGCGTTTGACAGTGAAGTGGAGACAAAAGCTGCCCTGATCTCCACTGCACTTGTCGAACACGTAAGAACGCGGAACTTCAGCGTCCGACGTTTGGCGTTCGCGCTCGGACGCGTTTGACTGTGAAGTGGAGACAAAAGCTGCCCTTATATCCATTGCACTTGTCGAACACCTAAGAACGCGTAACTTCAGCGTCCGGCGTTTGGCGTTCGCGTTTGGACGCGTTTGACAGTGAAGTGGAGACAAAAGCTGCTCTGATCTCCACTGCACTTGTCGAACACGTAAGAACGCGGAACTTCAGCGTCCGGCGTTTGGCGTTCGCGTTTGGACGCGTTTGACAGTGAAGTGGAGACAAAAGCTGCTCTGATCTCCACTGCACTTGTCGAACACGTAAGAACGCGGAACTTCAGCGTCCGGCGTTTGGCGTTCGCGTTCGGACGCGTTTGACAGTGAAGTGGAGACAAAAGCTGCCCTGATCTCCACTGCAGTTGTCGAACACGTAAGAACGCGGAACTTCAGCGTCCGGCGTTTGGCGTTCGCGTTCGGACGCGTTTGACAGTGAAGTGGAGACAAAAGCTGCCCTTATATCCATTGCACTTGTCGAACACGTAAGAACGCATAACTTCAGCGTCCGGCGTTTGGCGTTCGCGTTTGGACGCGTTTGACAGTGAAGTGGAGACAAAAGCTGCTCTGATCTCCACTGCACTTGTCGAACACGTAAGAACGCGGAACTTCAGCGTCCGGCGTTTGGCGTTCGCGTTCGGACGCGTTTGACAGTGAAGTGGAGACAAAAGCTGCTCTGATCTCCACTGCACTTGTCGAACACGTAAGAACGCGGAACTTCAGCGTCCGGCGTTTGGCGTTCGCGTTCGGACGCGTTTGACAGTGAAGTGGAGACAAAAGCTGCCCTGATCTCCACTGCACTTGTCGAACACGTAATAACGCGGAACTTCAGCGTCCGACGTTTGGCGTTCGCGTTCGGACGCGTTTGACAGTGAAGTGGAGACAAAAGCTGCGCTTATATCCATTGCACTTGTCGAACACGTAAGAACGTGTAACTTCAGCGTCCGGCGTTTGGCGTTCGCGTTTGGACGCGTTTGACAGTGAAGTGGAGACAAAAGCTGCTCTGATCTCCACTGCACTTGTCGAACACGTAAGAACGCGGAACTTCAGCGTCCGGCGTTTGGCGTTCGCGTTCGGACGCGTTTGACAGTGAAGTGGAGACAAAAGCTGCCCTGATCTCCACTGCACTTGTCGAACACGTAAGAACGCGGAACTTCAGCGTCCGACGTTTGGCGTTCGCGTTCGGACGCGTTTGACAGTGAAGTGGAGACAAAAGCTGCCCTGATCTCCACTGCACTTGTCGAACACGTAAGAACGCGGAACTTCAGCGTCCGGCGTTTGGCGTTCGCGTTCGGACGCGTTTGACAGTGAAGTGGAGACAAAAGCTGCCCTGATCTCCACTACACTTGTCGAACACGTAATAACGCGGAACTTCAACGACCGGCGTTTGGCGTTCGCGTTTGGACGCGTTTGACAGTGAAGTGGAGACAAAAGCTGCCCTGATCTCCACTACACTTGTCGAACACGTAATAACGCGGAACTTCAACGACCGGCGTTTGGCGTTCGCGTTCGGACGCGTTTGACAGTGAAGTGGAGACAAAAGCTGCGCTTATATCCATTGCACTTGTCGAACACGTAAGAACGCGGAACTTCAGCGTCCGACGTTTGGCGTTCGCGTTCGGACGCGTTTGACAGTGAAGTGGAGACAAAAGCTGCCCTGATCTCCACTGCACTTGTCGAACACGTAAGAACGCGGAACTTCAGCGTCCGGCGTTTGGCGTTCGCGTTCGGACGCGTTTGACAGTGAAGTGGAGACAAAAGCTGCCCTGATCTCCACTACACTTGTCGAACACGTAATAACGCGGAACTTCAACGACCGGCGTTTGGCGTTCGCGTTTGGACGCGTTTGACAGTGAAGTGGAGACAAAAGCTGCTCTGATCTCCACTGCACTTGTCGAACACGTAAGAACGCGGAACTTCAGCGTCCGGCGTTTGGCGTTCGCGTTCGGACGCGTTTGACAGTGAAGTGGAGACAAAAGCTGCCCTGATCTCCACTGCAGTTGTCGAACACGTAAGAACGCGGAACTTCAGCGTCCGGCGTTTGGCGTTCGCGTTCGGACGCGTTTGACAGTGAAGTGGAGACAAAAGCTGCCCTTATATCCATTGCACTTGTCGAACACGTAAGAACGCGTAACTTCAGCGTCCGGCGTTTGGCGTTCGCGTTTGGACGCGTTTGACAGTGAAGTGGAGACAAAAGCTGCTCTGATCTCCACTGCACTTGTCGAACACGTAAGAACGCGGAACTTCAGCGTCCGGCGTTTGGCGTTCGCGTTCGGACGCGTTTGACAGTGAAGTGGACACAAAAGCTGCTCTGATCTCCACTGCACTTGTCGAACACGTAAGAACGCGGAACTTCAGCGTCCGGCGTTTGGCGTTCGCGTTCAGACGCGTTTGACAGTGAAGTGGAGACAAAAGCTGCCCTGATCTCCACTGCACTTGTCGAACACGTAATAACGCGGAACTTCAGCGTCCGACGTTTGGCGTTCGCGTTTGGACGCGTTTGACAGAGAAGTGGAGACAAAAGCTGCCCTTATATCCATTGCACTTGTCGAACACGTAAGAACGTGTAACTTCAGCGTCCGGCGTTTGGCGTTCGCGTTTGGACGCGTTTGACAGTGAAGTGGAGACAAAAGCTGCTCTGATCTCCACTGCACTTGTCGAACACGTAAGAACGCGGAACTTCAGCGTCCGGCGTTTGGCGTTCGCGTTCGGACGCGTTTGACAGTGAAGTGGAGACAAAAGCTGCCCTGATCTCCACTGCACTTGTCGAACACGTAAGAACGCGGAACAACTTCAGCGTCCGACGTTTGGCGTTCGCGTTCGGACGCGTTTGACAGTGAAGTGGAGACAAAAGCTGCCCTGATC